TGTGAATGGTGCACAATGGTTTCTGTAAAAATGTAAAGTCATTCCGAAATTGTTCTGCATGTCCTGGGATCATTCCAGACATTCAGTATGTTTACTGGTATCACTGTGTGAAAGGGAATAATAACTTTATGCATCATGCAGTATGTTTTCATTCATTTGGAACTTTGTTAGACACTACACTACCTGACAAATGTCCTGTCACAGATCCCTGTGGTAAGAGCAACACATCATATCTTGACTTCTAGTTGATCATTTGGAAAAGTGGCAGAAGGTAGATTTTTCTGATGGATCATCTGTTGAACTGTATCCAAATCATCACGTATACTGCAGAAGACCTATTGGAACCTGCATAGACCCAATATTTTCAGAGAAATCAGTCAAGTTTGTTGAAGGAAAAATCATGGTTTGGGGTTACATTCAGTATGGGGGCGTGCAAGAGATTTGCGCACTCTCAGAAATAAAGATACAAGAACTCTCACTGGGGTGGTACCTTTTCAAATAGTACATATTTGTACCTAAAATGTCCATATTAATATCCCAAGGGTACAAATTAGTACCAAAAAAGTACAAAAGTGTACCTCTTACAATTTGTAGGTACTAATACATACTTTTGAGGTGCCAATATGGACCCTTCACGTACAAATATGTACATTTTGAGAAGGTACCACCCCACTGACAGCTCGCGTACCTTTATTTCTGAGAGTGCAGAGTGGATGGCAACATCAGCAGCTTGAGGTCTCAAGACATTTGCGCTGCCCATTACATTACAAACTACTGAAGAGGGGAAATTCTTCAGCAAGATAGCAGCACTTCAGCCTCCACACCAAAGTTCCTGAAAGTAAAAAAGGTCAAGGTGCTCCAGGATTGGCCAGCCCAGTCACCATATATGAACATTATTGAGCAATTAGGATCTTACTGTCCTAATTAAATAATTAAAAATCAAGGCATGATCATACTTTATTTTGGTAAAATACACGTAATCTAAAGACCTTTGCCTTTTATATAAGCCACTTCTGATACCAATTGATCAATTAAAAGTCAAGTTATTATATGTTGTTCCTTAAACTTGGATAGGCGACAAGCCTTTTGTCAGGTTGTGTACATGAAAGACAATTTTAAACAATCCATAAAAGTCTCTTTACCACTTTCCAAAAAAAAAAAAAATGCAAAAAGATAGAGGTACTTGCATCCGATAGAGAACAAAAGAAGTTCATGATCAACTTATCTAACATCGGCAGAAATCCAAAATCGTGCATCATAGCTGTCATGCCGCTTACAGCTTTGCAATATTTTCCCCTGGCCAACCTTCTCCTCATGATCACGAGACAGATTCACTAGGCTTCATTGGGTCGGCCAGCTGGAGCTAAAGACAAGGCCATCAGGTCTATTTTAGGGCCAGTCATACTTTTACACTCGGCTAATACTCGTAAATCTGGGAGAGCCGCTGACTTCGACTGCTCAAGGCTGGTGCTGGAATACACAGGGCTTTTAATTCAATGGGTGTAATGAGGACATTTGGTGGCCCGCCATCACTGCGAGTTATGCATGCCTGTTACCTTCAGCTTGAGACCTTCAGGTTAATGTTACGGCCCAAAATAGATTCAGATGAAGAAGTATGAAGATTTGTGCATAGGTGCTAAATTAATTTACAGCTTAACAAGGTTGAACATCTTCATCGTTTAAGGTAACAGGGTGAATTTTTTCATGTAAATTTAAAGACAATGATACAAAATGTAAAATTGTGTTATTTTTGTAAACAGTTTAAAGCTGATGAAATACGATAAAATAAAAAAATAAACAAAAACTGTATTAACACATAAATATATAGTTAAAGTTAGAATTATTAGCCCCTCTTTGAATTTTTTTCTTTTTTAAATATGTCCTAAATTATGTTTAACAGAGCAAGGAAATTTTCACAGTATGTCTGATAATATTTTTTCTTCATGAGAAAGTCTGATTTGATTTAGAATAAAAGAGAATAAAAGCAGTTTTTAATTCTTTAAAAACCATTTTAAAGTCAAAATTATTGGCCCCTTTAAGCTATATGTTTTTTCAATACAGAACAAACCATCATTATACAATATCTTGCCTATAATTACCCTAACCTAGCCTTTAAATGTCACTTTAAGCTGTATAGAAGTGTCTTGAAAAATATCTAGTAAAATATTATTTACTGTCATCATGGCAAAGAAAAAATAAATCAGTTATTAGAAATGAGTTATTAAAACTATTCTGTTTAGAAATGTGTTGAAAAAAATCCTCTCTCCGTTAAACAGAAATTGGGGAAATAAATAAATAATAATAAATTCTGACTTCAACTGTATATTTAAGTTTAATATAAAACTACAATTTACCAAAGACACCCTCTTATATGTTATTCAGTCTAACAATAATTTATATGCCAAAAAATATAAATCTTGTCAATCATATTTTTTCACAAGAATCATTTTGATATGATTATAAAACTCTATTTTTGTTGTTTCATTTCGGCATGAATATATCTGTTACGCCGAATGATGCTTGAACATTATTTTAACCTTTATTTTGGCATTTTACTTTCATAAAATTTCTCTAAAAACATTATTTACATGTAAAGTCATTCCGAAAAGTTTCACTGTGTAAAAGAGAGTAATAACTTTATGCATGATACAGTAAAGTTATGCTTTTATTCACTTAGAGCAGGGGTGTCCAAACTCTGTCCTGGAGGGCCAGTGTCCTGCGTATTTTAGTTCCAACCCTAATTAAACACACCAGAACCAGCTATTCAAGCTCTTTCTAGGTATACTAGAAAGTTCCTGGGAGGCGTGTTGAAAGAAGTTAGAGCTAAACTATGCAGGACATCTGCTCTCCAGGACCGAGTTTGGACACCCCTGAGCTTTGTTAGACACTACAATACCTGACAAAAGTCCTGACAAAAGTCTTGTCCTCAATCCCAGTCCCCCAAAAGCAGAGCCTTTACCTGCATTCTATATTCTTTCCATGTATATAAAAGCACAGTAACAAAAATGGGTTGTAAATTCATTCATTCATTCATTTTCTATTTCTTAGTGCCTTATTTTTTAGGAGTCGCCACAGCGGAATGAACTGCCAACTATACCGGCTTTTGTTTTACGCAGCGAATGCCCTTCCAGCCACAACCCACTACTGAGAAACACCCCATACACTCGCATTCACACACTATGGCCAATTTAGTTAATCCAATTCACCTATAGCGCAAACCGGAGCACCCGGAGAAAACCCACCCAAACACAGGGAGAACATGCAAACTCTCCACACAAAAATGACGACTGGCCCCGCTGGGACTCGAACCAGCAACCTTCTTGCTGTGAGGCGACAGTGGCAGTGCTAACCACTGAGCCGCCATGGTTTATAAATGAAACAGTGAATTTGTTTTAATATAAAACAAAACAAATAAATAAATACGTAAGATTTTTTTTAAAGTTTATTGTTGGAAAGACATCCAGCAGTGATCAAGTGCTCTCTTTTCATGTTAATTTATAAAAGAATTTAAGTAACAGCAATATATTACAAAATATGTACATTTTAGAGGACCACATAAATGGACAAGTATCATATTGTTGATAATAATGACCCTGAAATGAACCTGGAATTACCTGCAGTTACTACACTGAATGGTCAATTACAACTCATATTATTACACTGGGACACTTCAAAATAATACTTCATTAAAACTATAAACAATGCAATCAAATATTACAGTATGTAATGCTTAACAGATCAAAAACATTCTTAAATAAGTTATAAAGATTAATAACTGGGAGAAATAGTTCCAAGAGAATAGAATGGTAATAGTTTTTTACCATTACACTAACAGTTCTTTATAGGAATAAGGTTGATTAGATTATGAAAATGTTTTTCATGTCACAACATGAAAAAATTAGTTCACTGGAAAGTTAAACTATAATGATTCTTTTTGGCTGTTTCTATCGACCTATTTTTTGCACATTTTGGAATATCACATACCAAATTCTTAAATGGAAATGCCAAGAAGCACACACATTTTTAAAATGCGCATATATGCGAAAAACTGAACAGGATAAACTTATATTTGTCAAGAAAAACTTTACATAAACTAAAATGGAAACACATGTACCAAAAAAGTAATGTAAGTTTGTTTTACAGATCATGTGATTTGTGCGATGGTGCAAAATTTATGGACAAACTAGCGGACTGACCACATTGTAAAATATCTGAAATGCTTTGGTCATTCTAAAATCCCTCAGCCAAAGTCTGTCATCAAAGTGGTTTAGTATTTTTATCTCCAGAGCTGTCTTGACTGGCTGTGCTCTTAAAGAGCATCTTACACCCCACAATCCACTGCACATTCATTAGATTATATCTTCTGAGGTGAATCTAAATTATTATATTAGAAAAAAGGCCCACAGTGGCATCTTCTACCACAGCAAATTCCATTTTTCGTTTAGATCTTTGCCGCTAGTTTATTGGGCAGTGAGTTTTGTTCACTTTGACTCACTGGATGGAAACAGTGCTTCATACACAAATGTTTTATATGATATTCCAGTTTTGAGCATAAATGTAATTAACTTACTTGGATAGAAACATAGGTTATCCTTTTGAAACCTTCATTTTTATGAGTGTGGTTACATTCAAATGGAAATTCTAAATAATTTTTAACATATTTGTATTACTACTTATTTATGTAACAGAGTAAGGTTGATTAACTTCAATTATTAAGTTGAACTAACAATGAACAGTTGTATTTTTAACAACTTAAATGAACAAAGATTAATATATAGTGAATCAGACACAATGATCATTGACAGTTCACATTAGCTAATGCAGTAGGAAGTGTTTGAATTGAATCGTTAGGCTGATCTGTTATGCATTATATAGGCATGTTTGTTAACGACTTATAAAAAGTTATTGCAAAGTGTCACCTATTACATTTAAAACATCGACACTAGCTCATGGAAATAAATAAAAGTATTGGGAAATGTGAGGTGGGTGATGTTTGAGCTTCACTTCTCTGAGATCTGGCTGGGACAGCGGGCTTTGGGCTCTTCAGTGGAAATGCTGTCCACAATGGAGGAGAGGCGACGAAGACTGCTGGACTCTGAAGACTCCAACACGGCTCCTGAAACACACATCATGCTCATCGGTTTTTACGCATTGAGAAACACATGGAGGAAATGATAGGGACTTACATAGACAGAATTACATGTGTGAAGAACAGTTAAACACTCTTGAAATGGATAACCTCCGGTCAAATGAATACTGTATTATCTTGCTTCATGCTTCTTACTATATATAGTTTTCCAAGAGTTTAAAACTAACTACTAAACCATTTCACTAATGTACTTTTCAGACTATAAAGGTAGGAAATAAATGTCCCTTTTCAGTGCAGTTGCTCTAATAAAACACTGAAACCACTTTATTTGCATAAAACATGCAGCTTTTTTGTGACTGTCAAAGGTTTTTATACTAGTGCATTTTTTTGTTTTATCTTTTTAAAGCTTTCCTCCTCCATACTGGCCTTTCCACTGCATCGCTTCTTATTTCTGTACAGCTATAATACAATCTGTTCTACAGTACTGTATATGACTGTATAGGCCATTTGTCTTTTTCCTGAAATGTGACCCATAGGAATTTTTACTAAAATAGTGCCCCAACTATGAGTGAGACAAAATGCATTGTGCCCTTTCTGTAACAAGTTGTGATTTATATAGCTAAAACACATGCAAACGCAAGCAAAACGTGTACATTCATTGTGTTCACAAAGCCATCCCAAGTGTGTAAATGTACATTTAGTGAATTGGAAAGAGGAAAAAAAATTGGTAAGCGACTTTTTAAAAAGTCACCACATTGCGTTTCAATGACTGTATTTTGACTGATAATGCCGGTCATTTGTAATTTCTCAACCACACATGCAATGTGACACTGTCATTATATTTTACACCAGCCAAAGAGTACGTAACTAAAAACTATGTTTGTTATAAGCAGCTTGTGCAAACAAGTTATTTAATCAATTATTGGGGGAATAAACTCCCACATCTTGGCTGAGTTTTCAGTGTTGCTACTGAAATCATTACTAAAATCATTTTAAAAGTGTATTTGTTTTCATTTTGAGAACTGTAAATTTGGGTGACAATTTTAAAGTTTTTTTTTCTTTTTTATGATTTATTTTTGGGATTTTTTCTCCTTTACTATGACAGGACAGTATTTATAAAGAGAGAGAAAAGGTTAGTGAGCTGGGACTCAAACTCTGGACAACCGAAGCGTAATTGTAGTAAACTGTTCACGAGACTATTAGCACCAACAATTAAAATTTTATAAGTAAGCCCAGACAACAGTTTGCTCTGTTGAGAATGCATTTTAAATTAAAGCAATATAATGTCTGATGTTTACATAAGTGTATGCAAATCTACAATTAATATAGCCTTCATGAATAAACATGACATCTGATGTCTTTAAATACTGGGATATAAATCCCAAAGGTGACGCAGTGGCGCTGTGGGTAGCATGTTCGCCTCACAGCAAAAAGGTTGCTGGGTCGCTGGTTCGATCCTCGGCTCAGTTGGCGTTTCTGTGTGGAGTTTGCATGTTCTCCCTGCATTCGCATGGGTTTCCTCCGGGTACTCCGGTTTCCCCCAAAGTCCAAAGACATGCGGTACAGGTGAATTGGGTAGACTAAATTGTCCGTAGTGTATGAGTATGTGTGTATATGTGTGGATGTTTCCCAGAGATAAGTTGCGGCTGGAAGGGCATCCCCTGCGTAAAAACTTGCTGGATAAGTTGGCGGTTCATTCCACTGTGGCGACCTCAGATTAATAAAGGGACTAAGACGACAAGAAAATGAATGAATGAATATAAATCCCAATGTACTCATGCATTACATATGCAAAATAATTTCCAGATATATCAATTTAATTGGCTATCGTGGTTAACTTTTTTGAAAGTGTCAAACTGTGCATGTTGACATGATATAATTTCACATGCCTCATTTAAAGACTTTTGGCCCTGAACATTTTCCATAGTGCAGACACGTCTGGAAAATCTGAGCGCTTCAGACCACATGAGTCCCATGACGATGTAGCTTAAATGTTGATCATGGTTGTCGTGCGTCTACATTTAAAATAATAAAGTTGAGCATGTAAAAGATACAACGTGTGTGTTTCTCTATTGATGTCTAGCACACTCATGCAGGGTTAACATGACAAAAGCAATGCTAACTCTGCTCTTTACCAGATTTTAACATTGCTGTATAATGACAAAAAGTCCAAATAAACTACCAACCTTCACAGCAACTTATTCAACCTTGAATAAAGCTACCAGCATTTCCAGTTATGCACAGATACAAGCTAACAAAAGCAAACCGACAACCAGCCCAAGAAACCATCAGAAACCGTAAATGAAGTTAAATCCTGCTCTGTACCAACCTTCTCTATGACCTGCCATCTGGGAGCTGGAATGATCTGGGTTCTCCTGCCAGCTCTGGCAGGTCTTTTTCCAATGATACTCACTGGGAGTCACCTGAACAGGCAATCATGATGGAAAAAACATTAATAATACTCTTAATGTAACTCTGAAACACAAATCATAGCATTAGCTGTGCGCAGAGTCAAAGCACCACGTGGATCCAGAGCAAATGGATGGGCTTACATGGTTTTCCTTCAGGTTGTATGTGTAAGGGTCAGTGTCATTGCTCTGCTCCTGCTCATCCAGCGAATGCAAGAGGTCCTGCAGTTTCTCAATGTAGTTTATCGCACTGCGTAAAATCTCCACTTTGGGCAGCCTCTGGTTCGGATTAGGCACCGTCTTTTTCTTTAGCGCGTCAAAAGCTTCGTTGATCTTTTTGAGCCGCCTTCGTTCTCTCAAAGTGGCGGCCTTTCGCCGGTCAGTAGGAGCAGATTTCCGTTTACAGATCTTGCAAGCCCACATGAGGCACTGACCCTCGCAGTGCGCCTGGAGCCCCGGTGGAGCGAGGACGTGCTCCTCTCCGCTGCTCTCGCACCCCGTTTCCGACGGGACAGGATCCTGACCTGGGGACAGAGGACTGTCATTCCCCTCGTACAATGGGGACACTCCTGGCATATCCAAGGTCCCATGGTCCCCCTCAAGATAACGCAAATCATTGAAAAAATAAGCGTTGGTCTCAAACAGGTCCATCATGTTGTTGTAGGCTGTTTTGACAGTAAGACTGTTGGCATTTAAATAGCCCTGTGACACAAGTTGGGAGACTTAAATATAGCATGTGAAATTCTATCCAGCGCTTAGCTGTTGCGGGGCTTCAGATTCAATTCAATAGGCCTTCTGGTGCCCAAATGAAAAATATAGGAAACACTCAACTGGGTGTTTTACTAACTACTTGTTTTAATACTATTAAAACAAGATTAAAACAAGTTATATATATATATAAAGATGGAGTAACTATTTTAGGTCAATTTAACATGATGCAATCATGTTGCTTGAACTTTATTATACAATTGTCATTATTGTTACACTGCAGAAACTCCTTTAGTCAAGAGCTATTCTTTTTTTCTTGACAAAAAAATATTTTTTTAAAGAATACAATACAATGCACATTCAGACTGTCTAAGGTTATTGTGATTGTTTTAAGATTTTTCACTTTTTTCATGCTAGTAAATCATAAAGTTAGGGGTTTTACCTCCAAATTTAGCATAATGTCATAATTTAAGACCAGTCTTGTATTTTTATTACTTTGCCAATGAAAAAAAATTCAGTTACACACGTATACTTGTTCATTAGTGTCAAAATACATTGCGTTATGTTTTGTTGCAGTAAGCTTCAGCATTTTGAGAAGAAGCAAATAAACTTTTTCCATTGTAACTTCAGTCAAGTCTTGAATAAAAATGTGTTATCCTGATTTTATTCATAAAGTAATCATGCTTTAAGTTTAAATGCTTTGCCGCATTTTTGGCTCAAGACAAATATATTATGACAATTCTTAAATTAAGATAAATCCCTAAATTAGAACAATACACAAAATAAGAGAACAAACTATTTAAAAATCTATTAAAAAGTTAGCTTTAAGATAATTAGACTCAATACGCCACTTGAAATATGTTTGATAATGCTTCTTTTTAAGACATGTTTTGTTTACTAAAGCCTTATTTATTTCTTACTGGCAGGAAGATACTTTGAATTGTTTCTACTTTGTATCTTTTTAAATATTTTTTTTTCATTTAGATGCGATTATTTTTGCAGTGTACCTGAGAAAATGTTTGCTTACATTATTTAACTACTCAGGTTAATGGCAGGTTTAGGAGTTTTTTAGGAATGGTAGCTAGATATACATTGTATGTAGAAGCAAAACAGGTTTGGTTAAAAAATATATTTGAAAAAGAAATCTAAAAAAATTCAAAATGGAAATAATATATTTTAATAAAGTGAACAAAGTGAATAAAGATATTTGTATTTATTTATCTTTCAAGCAAACTTTATTTAGCAAATATCAAAAATAACTAGTAAAAAAATACTTGTAATTGTTGATATTTGATGTAAAATACTACATGTGATATAGCAAGTGAAAATATAAAACACTAGACAAATGATTTTTAACAAATTGCTTAATTTATTCAAATGTACACTTTAAAGTACACTCACTACATCACTTATTGTAAAACATTTTATTTGGTATAATCAGCTACTAGGTTCTGTAATTAGTAGGTTCTGTGATTTTCAGAAAAGTGATACAATTTTAAATTCAAAATTGTGTCTTGATATTGAAGAACAAGGGAACAGATGCATTTATTGGTGGATTTTGATCCACTGGTGACTGTGCAGGATTGTTTCTCAAACATCTAAAAGCATCGAAAAGTCAAGCATTGAAAAGTCCAAAAGTTACAATGTATTAAAAACATATAATTTCATTGTTTTTATCTACGGCGGCAACACCAAGGCTCCAAAAAAAAACAAATTCATTAAATTAAAAAGGCTGACAGAGCGCTCTGTGTACAGTTTTTTCATTGTTTTTATCTACCAAAATGTTCTGCTTTTATCGATTACAAGTTGGCATTTAGACTTACTAAAATTGCTCTGCATTTGTGACTAAATATTACATACAAACACACATAGAGAAGACCATACAATATAACAGCAGCCATTCAAAGCTTCATTCTTAAATAGAGACTTGCTCAGCAAAAACAGTCAGAATGACTGCTATAGCTGTTGAAGTTGTAGAATTGTGGCAGTTTTAAATGTTACCGAATAAGAATAAATATGATAATGAATTTTAATGAATAATGATGTTAAATAATATATTTTACTTGAAAAACTTTTTTTAAAATATTTTTGATTGTGTGCACCTAAGACTTGCTCACTAGCACGTGTATAAATCTAGTGAAAAGTAATTTGTTGTATCAGTAACTTTTAAGTAAGAAAACTAACTCACAGAACATTAACCTCAAGCATTTATTAATAACGGAGGAAAACACACACAGACACAGAATTGCTGGACACTGGAAAGAGGGTCTTGTTTTTATGCCCTGTAAAAATAGCCTGGAATGTATGCAGTCAAAATGGCTTTTGAAAAGCTCACGCATGTGAAGTAAAAATAGCTATTAGAACCATTTATCTTAATTCCGAAAACACATGAAAGGCCTTTCCGAAGTGTTATGTGTCCTCTGACATTTTTGTACAAGATCGGTGTGAGATGTTTTATTGGGGGCTGCAAGTTGCCAATGGATCGTATTGCATATCGTTTTAGAGTAGACCATTTTAAAATTTGAATCAGGCAAAATTGTACACTTTATTCTGATGCTGAGGATTAACAGAGAATTAATGAAATAATCCACTCACAAATAAAACTCATTTTATGATTATTACCTTACCCCAGCCAGTCCACAAATTATATGACGTGATTGTCAGCTAAAAAGGAATTACAAGATGAAAACTTGTGTTTTCATGTGGTGAAATATTTTTGATTAATAAATCCACATTTCAAAAGAACAGCTTTAAAGGAATGAACACCAACTTGTCCAATAAGTGTATATTTTAGTTTACCCCCTACTCCCAACACTATTACAACAAGTGGTAAACAGTTTTTAAAATACAGTACATGTTCAAAAGATGTTCTTAAAGCTCTGCAGCTTTGGGGCGGTTTTCTGACTGGATTTTTCTACTCAAATGGAAGAGCATACCATAAACTCCAACATTTTTAGGTTTAACTCCAACATTCTGGTATTATTATAAAGGGCACCTATGATGAAAATAAACTTTTGGAAGATGTTTGGACAGAACAGTGTGTAGGTATAGTGTGTGCACAGTCATATCAGTGTGATATAAATCCCTCCCATTTTGAGGCCCACCGCAACGTGATGTAAGAGTTGGGTTTTCCCCACCCAGCAAATTGATTGACAGCTGTGAATCAACACGTCTCCATAGTAACACGTATAATCATAACAACAAGACAGGGTGCGCGCAAAGCAAATAGGATTAAAAGACCTCTTAAGCTCTCTGTGGTCAACGGCACCTCAAGAATGAGTTTTACAAGTTTAAAGAATTTTTAAAACAGTGCATGTTTGTAATAAAGACGGTAAAATCGCTGTAATTCATCACCACAGCTGCATAGTGTCAGTACAATTATAAAAGAAGACGCTTTAATCCCGGTTTGTGGACATTAGATCAGTATTTACTTTAGCATGACAGATATCCATACAGCAGTGTATATTAACATGTATGCTGTCACATTTAAACGCAGCTAAAAACATCTTTGTTTAAACATTTGACTTGCTACATTACAAATGCTGATAATAAAGGAACACTTTTGCATGTCGAGACATACATTTGAAATGTGTGCTGCAGCTTTCGTGTTTTTAAAATGATGTGTGCATGCATGTGACATGTGCATGCAACTGAACCAAGAGCTTGCAGGTGAACTCACAGAAGTTTATCATAAGCATTTTATCAGTAATTTTTTTCCACAACTGGCACTAAGAAGAAACATAGAAACGTTATATGACTAACAGAGAAGCAGCTAAATGTGTCTGGAGAAGGAATCAAAGGCATTTATTTTAATAAACATCGCAAATGAGAATGCATCTGAGTGTTCTGATTGGCTGGAGTAGACGTCACACATCAGTGCATTCTAGACGTGAACGTACTCCTTCCGGCAATTTTCCTTCTTTGTTCACACAGAGCAGCCTTCCAGAATAATTTTACAACTTGTCTTTCCGGAAAATTGGTGGAACAAATTTACTGGTATTTTCAAAAAGGGTCAGTTTGCTGGTAATTTTCCAGAAGGTCTGTATGTGTGAAAGGGGCTTATGTGTGTGACTCATCGTTGCAGAAAGGCTTGAATTAACTCCACAACAAATACATCACATAACCGCTGGGAAGGTTCTTACTGTAGTAAGGGAAATCTGCATCATTCTTTCTGTCATTGTGATGTTTATCTATGTGAGAAGTAACAGGAGAAGGCTACATGCATCAGAGCAATACCGGGAGATCTCTATGGCTCAGACACACATTTGGGTGTGGTGGGCAGTGAGAACCAGCTCATTTGCATAAAAAGCACAGGCAAGAAAAACAGCTATAATGTCCTAACAAATTAAATTAAATATTGTGAAAGGTGTAATAAATAATCTGATGGGTATTTTGTGCTGAAACAAAAAAGACTTGAAAAATAGGTGTCTTTAAAGCAAACCTTTTGTAACGAAAACTGTGTAAAAGTGCTAAATTGTAAAACTACTGACTGTGTTCATCTGAAAAAAGAAAATCAAATACACAGAGGACGGCTGAGGGTAAGACAATTATGGTATAGTTATCAATTGTGGGTGAACTATTCTTTTAAGATACATAGCCTTTAATGGATTAGTGTTTTTTCTGAAAGTTTCAATACATCAACCTATCTTCTGCTCTTCTTCAATACAATGTGAAGGTTTAAAGTGATAGTTCACTCTAAAATAAAAGTGTACTTACTAACTCTCCCTCAAATGGTTCCAGACATTTATGTTTCCTTCTTCTGTTAAACACAAAGGAAGATATTAAATATTTTACTAATAAGAAACTTTTTTTTATAAACTGTTTTTATTTTTTTATTTTTGGGTGAATTATACCTTTAAATCATTTGTGTGTTGTCTCTCATAGTGGACACATCTCCTATTCCCTTTGGTGTACAAGGTTATGGGCTATAGGATCAATACGGTCTC